GCTTTCTCAAAATCACATAAAACCATATTATAACATCGACTGAGATAAAGAATAAAATGAAATATTAAAATCACAATGTATCTCGCTGCATTGCGCGAGTATGCTTCTAGTTATATTATAAAGCATTTGACAAAAACTCTTAAAAAACACTTTTTATGCATAAAGTACTGTTTATTAATGCATATTACTTAAAACTCAAGATTGCAAGTGGATTCTGTGTAAGTACAACTTATTAAAGCTCCATATCTGAATTCGTGTAACTAACTGCAGATAAACATAATCAAATACAGAATAAACATCTAATTTTAAATATAAAAAATTTAAAATATAATTAGGATAATTATTGAGTTTTAACAGAATACTTAATTATTATCTTAATATATTTTTTCAAATTTATGTTTTATTCAAAAATAAAATCATTATTGCTTTCTTAAAAAACACATAAAATCATATTATAACATCGACAGAGACAAATAATAAAATATAACATTACAATCGAGATGTGTCTCGCTGCATTGCGCGAGTACTCTTCTAATTATATATAAAAAAATAAGTATGAAAAAAAAACAATTATAGTTTTATTATTCTAAATATAGATATAAGTTGTAACGTCTCATATGGTTTGTAAATTTTTCAAAAGATGGGGGTTTTGTTAGCTAATAACAAGAAAAATCTACTATATTCTAATACAAAAATAGAATTCATGCGAAAGTGGAATAATCAAAAGAGTCGATAGGAGATGTTTTATGAAGAATATATATCGAAGTTTTTGAGGTAAGTAGTTTTAGACGTCAATATTAGATAAAAAAATATATAATGAACGACAAATTAACTTTTTTATGTACTTCTCCAATATATTTAATTAATACGTGTTTCGGCCTTTAATAGTTAATGAAATACCAAAATCTTTTCTGGTACTATTAGATTCTAATTTTTTTATTTCTCTTCTATTTACTAATTTTTTTTAAAGAACTATTATATATACTAAAAAAATTGGGCCTCTAATTTTTGTGGGCTTGGGCGTACGCCCGGCCCCCTCCCCCATAAACGGCCCTGTATACAAGCCGATTAATTTCAGGGTGAGCATCCGCGAGTCATTGCATTTGAACCTCCGTGGCCACAAAGAGATTTCTTATTCCTCATTGGATTCAAACCTGAGATCTCCAAGTACTTTTGATCTTTGAAGCTCAAACTCAAACCAATCAAACACCACTCTTATGGTACATCTTTATAATCAACCACCATCACAACTAACAATTTTTGGCATAAAACAAAAAATCAAACATTTTTAATCATCAATTACATCTAAAGAATCTATATATATACTACCTTATTAAGCAGATTTACCAAAAGTCTTAAAAGTCTTAAAAATTATAAATGACCATACCCTTATCTTTTATCCTTTACTGCAGTAGTAGATTACTCACTCCCCTCCCCCAAAGGATCGCTCCCCTTTCCAAGACGCCGATTAGGTCGCTTCCCTCCCCCAAGACGCCGATTAGGTCGCTCCCCTCCCCCAAGACGACTATTCAAACGCTTCGTCGCTCCCAATACGACGATTCAGGCAATTCCTCACTCCCCAAGACACTCGAATCATCAATATATTAAAGCGAGGTTTCATCATCTTCCATCGTCTTCTTCGAAATCAGACCTCTCTTCCATCGTCTTCTTTATCATTCAATCCATCTCCAGGTTTGTTTTTACCATTTATGCGAAAATATCAGGTTTCATTTATGCGAAAATATTAGGGTTTCATTTATGCGAAAATATCAGGTTTCATTTATGCGAAAATATTCGGGTTTCATTTATGCAAAAATATCAGGTTTCATTTATGTGAAAATATCAGGTTTCATTTATGTGAAAATATCAGGTTTCATTTATTCAAAAATATTAGGGTTTCATGTAATGTGGCTGGTTAATGATCTTTATAATGTAATGTGGCTGGTTAATAACGCATATATGATGAAATTAAATTGCAACAATGTAGAATGGCAGTGTGGCTGGTTAATGGTTTGGTTAATAATTTGATAGTTTAAGGTATATCATATATGGAATGTAAAACGAGAGTCTTCATGTTATATGTGTGTTGATCAGTTGGTTTTCTGCTCTCTTTCTCTCAATCTCTCTCAAGTATTTTGATCTCTTTCATGGTGGTTTAATAAAGGGTTTCTCACTGAGTTCCTTGGCATTCTATCCCCCTCCCCTTTTCTTTTTTATTTTATCAAAACTCACAACTGTAGTAGGAAAAAAGTGAGAAGGAAGAGTTTGGAGAAGAAATGAAAAATTAGATAAAGAAGGTGGTTTTTTTTTAATTTATGTGTAGGGTGGAGGTGGGCATACTGCTAGTGGAGCTCTGTTGGTATCTCTTTGTAAAACCCTCTTGATGATATTACCTGCTTGTTACTCTCTCACCAGTGATATGCTATCATTCAAACCAAAAAGATAGGTACCATTTACAATATCTTGGATTTTATATATTCATTCAACATGGCTTAATTATGTGTTTGTGAATGTTTTTGTGTGAGATTATTCTTTTATTTGACCTTTGTGGGTGTTTCCGATCTTGTTTCAGCATGGCTTCTATATATCTTTAATTTTGTGTGAGATGATTTCTGTGTTTCTTTTCTAAGATGCACTTGAAATCTTTGAAAGATCATGCATTTTTGTGTTTCTTTTCTAAGATGCACTTGAAATCTTTAAAAGATGCACTTGAAATCTTTGAAAGATCATTCATGATCATGGTTTATGTCTGTTCGTGTGAGATGATACTTGTGTTTCTGTCTGTCTTTGAAAGAAATCATGTTTGCTTTTTGACCTTTATTGGGTGTTTCTGATCTTGACTTAACATGACTTGTAGTCTGTTAATTTCTGTGAGATATTATGCTTTTGTTCTTTGACTTTTCACTAAAAGCACTTGAAATCTTCAAGAAATCATGCATGCTTGCTTGACCAATGTGGGTGTTTCTACTTTTATCTATACCATAAAGCAAGCATGCTAGATTACCAACCACTAAAAAAATTCTCATGTACTTTATGACATAAGAACCAAACTCTTCTAACCTGAATTTTGATGGGTAGAAATAATTTGTTCAAAACCAGAGTTATGTTGGGATTTCCAGCCCATTTAGCAACAAACTCAAATATAAGATGGTCTGCATTCAATATAAGTATTTTTACACCTGCCAAAGTACAAGAAGAACAACCTACAATCATTAAGCAAAGTGCCTATTGAAAGACTTATAGGAAGCATTTGGAACATTAATCAGTAGACTGATGAATATACCCTGAAATATAGGAGGAAGAGTTCCAAGGGTAAGGCTTTCAATTTCTATGGATCTTATTGGAAACATACCAATATAATAAGAAGATTTAGGTTTTGACATGCTTCTGATCATGCCACATATTGCCTATACAAGAATGAAATTGATGTGAGATGGGTTATATTTTATATATATAACAAACCAATCTTATTGGAAGGCCCAAAATCCTCAGAAATCAAATAAATGAAAATAAATGAATCCATATATATCTTGACACAAAACCATTCAGATTCCTCCTTTTTCTCTTTTACTATTTGAAAAAAGAAGCACCAAAAATAGTTAATCAACAATGCTTTGGTATATATTGATAAGTTCATTATTGTTCATTTTGTTGATTTAAGTACTTATTTTTACAGCAAACTAATTGGTGGTTGAGCAGCAAAAACACACACACTGTTAAACCTGCAGATGCTTGATGGCAGTAAAAAACACACCAAAAAACATAGAGGATTTTTTCTTTAGCTGCATCTGGGATTTCTCTCTTGAATGCATTATGCATGTAGGGCAGACTTACTAAGCAGCTTCAGTCATGTAAAAATTGTAATCACTTGAAAGTGTAGTCTTAGTAGTTACCCTTTGGACTATAGTAGGTTGCCTGATTGGTGCTTGGGCTAAAAATTTTAATTAGGAAATGACGTTTCACTTGGCTTAGAGAAGGTAAGGCTATATTCCCCTTCCACCTCTGTGAACCTGTAATGGTTCAATCTTTTGTACCTTACCATTATTTTGTTTTGGTTGTCTGAAGTTAAATACATTTAGGAATTAGGAGATCTCTTTGAGAAATGTTCTCATTCCAGTAATATAGTCACTACTAAGTCATTGTGTTGTAGGGAATTTTGGTAACTTTGAGGTTGGCTACCATGTGTTTGTTAATTAGACATATAAATTTGTTGCCATATAATTTTTGGGAAAATAGAATGGAATCTCAAAGCACTTCTTATATTTGGTGTTTTGATCCTCATCTGGAAAATTTAGGCCTCCAACTCCCATATACAGTGAGCTATGTACATGCAAAAACCTGACTCTTGTTATGGCAAACAATAGTAACCCTCTTTTCTTTCATGATTGTAGACTCCTATGCCCCATGCAACCATGACCAAATCCTTGTTTAGCTGTTTTTTTCTTTCAGAATTTGAATGAGGCAGCTTGGTCGGTCTTTATTTAAAACACCATTTTTTTACAACAAAGTATCAAGGTAAGATGATATATTTCACTTAGAAGTTATATCTAAGCAGGCCTCTGACAAAGCAGGGTTTATTTTAAACATTCAGTTCCAGGGGTGGGTTCCATAATTAGGCACTTCATCTAAAGTGGTGGATATATAATTAGATTTGCCAGTGGCAACAAACCAAACTTCAACGTTAGCATGTGTTGCAACTCTTACCTAATATAGAGTTCTTTAACCTGCAACTATTTACTATGAATATTCTTGGTGCAAAAGTATTTTATAAAGATTAAAGCATAAGATCACTTTTGAGAATTTTTAATGCAAAATGTCTTTGTGTGTGATGCAGATGGGAAGTAGAGCACTGCAATAAATTCGACCTACGGAGGCCCATAGAAAAGTATTTAATAATGTGAAATCATGTGGAGTGCATTAGCCTTTTGGATTGTTCAAAGTCTTGCTGGATTCTGCGATCGTGGTGGAACTAGACCAGCATCCGTTGATATCGTTATGTCTCGTTAGGGTGAGAGCAACATCCGGATGAACCCAATTGATAAGATCATAGGATATGGAATGACCCCATGAAATGTTACTCCATAATGGACCATATGGATTGTATTTATAGAACAGATGGTAAACTCCATTGTGATACATTGGTCCTGTATTAATACATCAAAGACCAATTGCACTGATCGAAATTAGTGTCGATTTAATTTAGCTTTCAAGAAACCAAGTTGAAGTACCTATATGTAAGTATATATATATATATATATATATGTGTGTGTGTGTGTGTGTGTGTGTGTGTGATTGTGTTTTACCATTAGGATCTGCAAATTCCATCAGCAGCCCATGTAGACCAATGGATCATCAGATCATGTAAAAAAGATTCAATACAAAACACAAACATTAATCGATCAATGGACATGATACAAAACACAAAGAAAACAGCCATAAACCATAAACATCCATTAAAAGATTCAGATAATGACAATACGCTAAATTTCACAATTAAAAGTAAATTACAATTTTTTTTAAAGATGTAAGGTTAAATATCTCAAACATAATCGAACCAATTACAAACAATGTCTTAAAGTCTTAAAAATAACTCATAATGCAAGTTACATAGTTTTAAAAACAACTCATAATTCATTAAGTATTAGTACTACTTTATGCATTCATTTTTAAAATCTCTTAATCTACAATTAAAATAGCATATAGTACAAGTTACTAATGCACATTATTACCTTTTATTTTCATGTTACCAAGATATTATTGACACATTTCACTCGTGCCTTCACCCTCTCATACCTCTATGTCTTCTACATCCCACAAGGTGAGATTCAAACTGATATTCACCAAGAGTTATTAAAAGTGTTCCCATTCAATTGCTCTAGAACTCTTGGTCTCGCTCTCGATCTCTTGATTCTTTGCTCTTGGTGTAAATCGAACACATTTGTGGAATCGTTTAAATATGATGGATTTTAAATATATTGGATTTTAAATTGTCATACAATTTTTTTCATTGATAAACTGTAATTGGAACCATAACTCTTATTTATTCAAGTTGTATTAATATGTAAAAACCAAGTGTAACTTATATCATCGTTAAAT